AATAGTAGAAGGGTTTTATTAAGTAATGTTTACGATTTATCATCTTTGTTAGATGTTACGTCAAGTTTTTAAACTTTCAGTTAAAAATAAGGAAAATATAATTCTATACAATCCAAGTAGATATCGTCGGTGACTCAGGGGTTAAGCACTTGACTTGCAATCTGCAGGTCCTGGGTTTGAATCCCGCCATGTACCAATGTATTTTTCGATTTCCGATTTACATATGTACATCCGACGTTCTTACGGTGAAGGAAAACATTGTGATGCAACCTGCACATATCTGAGAAGAAATTCAAAGATACGTGTGAAGTCAACCCGCACTTGGCCAGCGTGGTTGACTATGGCCTAATCACCCTTAACTTAGGGTAGGCTCCGAGCCCCTCGGTGGGGACGCATAGTGAGCTGATGATGCAAGTAGATATAAAATCCTATATATTAATGATAGCTGTCGCCCTCGACTCCGTCCGCGCGGGATTAAAAATTAGTAGCCTAGTTCCTACAGTTTATGTTCTACATCGATGACTAAGCGAAATCCATACAGCATTTCAGGAGATACATTCTAAAAAACATCCATCCATCCACATTTGTAATTAGTAAGATAAGGTGCTGAAGTACTAATTTGTGAGCACGCTACGTGACAAAGATCCGACGTGTTATCACGTCACAACGTGATATGTTACTTGCATACATTTAATTTATGAATTTAGAAGCACGTATTATAATATTTATCATCTATAAAAACATCTCATAATCTAAGATAATTTTAATACATGTCTACTTTGATAGATAAGGAACTGTATTTATGCATTTATTTATAATAGTTACAAGCTTCTTTGCCTTCATCTGCTCTGAATTAAAAAAAAGGTTGAGTCATTTGTTATTCGAGACTTTGTTCTATTATTTGCCTTACAATAAGATGTATTCGTTGTCGTGTTATCGAGTAAATATGTAAATCAAACTGCCGTAGTTGTGGTCTACATCTATAACAAAATTCATCGAGATCTATGCAGCCCTGGTGATAGCAAATTAAACTTTCGCATTTATATTAGTAATATAGTCATCAAAAGGGGAAACCTACAAATAGGATGTATTATATTTAACGTTTTTCTTGTCTGTTCATTGAGTTGTAAATTGAAAACATTTCAACATTTACCTTCCCGCGTAGTTGCATTACATCCTTAAAACAATTTCAATTACAACGGAAATAAAAAAAACAAACGTAATTTTCGTTCAAAATGTAACTGACTGAAAACTAATTAGTCCGTAAAAAGTCATCTGTAATAATTAACGTTCAAATCTATGATTCGAAGGAGCGTCGGTGGCTCAGGGGTCAAGCACTTGACTTGCAAACTGCAGGTCCTGGGTATCCCGCCATGTACCAATGTGTTTTTCGATTTCCGATTTACATATGTACATTTATCCGACGTTCTTACGGTGAAGGAAAACATCGTGATGCAACCTTTACATATCTAAGAAGAAATTCAAAGATATGTGTGAAGTCAACCAAGCCGCACTAGGCCAGCGTAGTTGACTATGGCCTAATCACCCTTAACTTAAGGTAGGCTGCGAGCCCCTCGGTGGGGACGTATAGTGAGCTGATGATGAAATCTATGATTACATACAAGTAAATTCACACCTGGATAAGCTAGAAAACTCTATAAGCGAGAGTCATTGTTTGGTCCCTTACCACGACCTACATAAGCGAGAAACTCGGGTCAGAGAGAAACCTTAATAAGCGAGAAAAATCTCGAGGTCCCTTGAATTCTCGTTTAAACAGGTTCAATTGTCATGTAAGGTTCCAATGATAAATACAGAAACAAAGATGGTAGAAGTATTATTATTAAATGTCCTAAGCTTAGTTTTACTTACTGAGTTCTAAGCACTTATATTTTAACTTTATTATGAAAAAACAATTATTAAACTATATTACTTACTACACTCGTACGACCGTGGGTTTCTGATACCAAGATCCACGCTTAAAATTATTATCTCTATTTCATCAAAGATAATGAGAGTGATGACGATATGTTTAGATATTTGTCTCAGAAACTGGCAGTTAGATAGAAGTCAAAATGTATTTGGTAAGATATTTTCTCAGCACAATCTAACATCAGCATTGTTTAGTAAAAGAACTTTATCGCGCATTGGGTCATCAGTTGGGAATTTGTTGCAACACAAATCTTCGAGTGTACCTTTTTATTTCTACTATTTGTCGATCGTTTTCGTAATAGAATATTAGGTAATACTGATACATTTGCTTTAATATTTCGATTTTCGAGTCGAAACATTCTAATATTTGGGGATCAATTTGGAATTTTGTGTCTATAATTACGCAGCGTTTTTTTTTAATCCTTTTGGTTAAGCGATCGATCTTAAAAAGGCAATAGCAATTCTTGCAGCCAGTTCCATCTAA